TGTGTGGGTCTCTGGCTGCCGGCCAGGGTCAAACCACGACAGCAGTACTTCAAGAAACATGACGACTAAGTTTATTGCTATCAAATCACAAAACTGATTAAAAACATTCTGACAATGAGATGCAACTAGCACCTCACATTAAGTAAAGCACTAACTGGCAATAGGTGATGGTGAATGTGAGTATTGGAGAGATAAAGCACTTACTCTTTACAGATGAGAACTGTATTGCTGCGACACAGATAGCCCGTGTATTTGGCACCTGCTAGGTAGGCCATTAGTTTGAGGTCATCTCTGTCACTGTCAACAAATCCTGTCACAGAGATTATCTACAGATAGGAAGAGACAGTTACAAATACCTGAACATAGACGGTACTTATGAAACACTCCCATTGAAAACATTTTTCTTTTACTAACTTTTACATGACAATGAAGATGTATGGTATCAAAACGCAGCTGTAGGACACATAAAGTACAATTTAAAAGCAATTTTTTTATATGTAAAATTTTCAGGTTTCTAGGACTAGTTCTGACTTAGGAAGAATAGTTTTCATACTGTTGCTTTTTTTTCATTTATTTTTTTTTTTACAAAGACTACAGTTTAGCTATGAAAGAGCTCACAGTCAGTTTTCCTGTTGCACATGTCACTCCTGTGCTGCTGTTTATATTCAGGGAGAGAAACACACTTGCCCTACTTTGCATTTACAAATCTCCTGAATGCTCTGCTCTACCCTGCTACAAGGCCAAATAAACTGTGCCAGCTGATCACAGGTACTGAATTGTAATTCCCCTTCTTCTGTTCTTATCCTAAGTCTTGCCAAGTTTTTGCTATTCATTTTATTTAGGAAAAGGCAACAGCAACTTTGTTGTTGATAATAAACTACATCTATTACATTACTTACTACACTTACTACTAACCACTATGTTCACATGCATACACAGCAGGGGGGTTGGAACTAGATGATCTGCAAGGTTCCTTGCAACCTGAACCATTCTATGATTCTATGATATTGGTTTTTTTCCCAATCTTGTATTTCTTTTTATGTCTTTTAGAACAGGCTTGTAAGCAAGGCCATCATCCTGTATGTTTGCATCTAACACAAAGAAATCCAATGCCAAGACATACTTTGGCATCTTGCTTTATATTGCACAATTTTATTTCAAGATACATCTGATTTAACTGCAAGTCTGTCTTTCAATGCCGCAAAATTCAATTGCACAGGCAACTTGACCTCCGGTTCTTGACTGACAACTTAGTATTGACCCACAAAAACAAAAACCCTCAAAAAAATCCCTCCAAATACTGGGTTATAGTAGAAGAAGCATACACTATTAGACATGCTGTTAGTAAAAAACTACACAGCTTGGATTCCTGTCATCTTGCTATGTATAACATATGTAAGCTTTGCACCTGAGCACAGAACTTGGGAAGACTTGCAAAGCGCTCTCAGTCACCAGGCATTACACACCACATCAACACAGGACCCTGAGATTAACAGCAGCTTTTCTTCCGACACAAAAGAAATGTGCATTTTTCTCTGAGTAAGCACTTTCTAGTTATATTTTACTACTGCTCATGTAATGAAGCAAGCATTTTGTAGAAGGAAGCTTTTTCTTCTTACATGTTGAGAGCATGGCTTTCCTCCTGGTGGGAATGCCACCGGAAAATGAAGGGCTCGATGAGGTGGTACCATCTTCTTCTTCTTCAAGATTGAGTTCAGCCAGTGTGCTGTAATACATCTCTTCCTTTCTCTCAGAGCCTACAGATATATGCATAAACAGCTTTTAAAAACAAGATATATCCTTATTTTAATTTAAACTTTTTCTGAAACACAAAGCTTGATTTAATTGTTTGTTTTTCTCTGCTTTTTCAGGATCCTACTTCTCATGCCATCTTTCTCAGTGTCCTCTGGAATAAATCTACTATGTGCCATTATGAAATTTGGTTACACCATGAACTACAAATCATAACAAAGCACATCATGAAAAGTTTTAACATTATACTTGCAATCTAAGCATGAAGTACAGACTGCGAAGCTCTACCTTTCCCATAACAAAATGAAAGCATACATGAACCCATGCTGTTAGTTTGCTTACCTGAGCGTACATGTTACTGACTTGGCTTTCACAAAGTAGATGTGTACATCTGCTTGTAAGGGTAGGGTCCACGGTCCCACCATGTGCTTGAATGATCTGGTAAGAGAACAAACCCAGAACTTCTAATATATGCAAAAACTTTAAAATTACCCTAAGAAATGAACAGTCCAAAATGAACGTCTACTCTTTAGCACACTGCCACCATTAGCACTATTTCACTGAAGAGTTACCCCCCCCAAAAGATTTGTTATCTAGCTTAAGAACATTTTTGGAAAAAATGGAGACAACAAAATTAAATATGTGCCTTTTCACTGAGCTACAAAAAGTCTATTTTTAGAATCAATTAAAAAACCACCAAATATACATAAACAAAAATAACTCTTCTCATATTTTATTTTTGCAGTGTAATTATTAAACAACTTTTCATGAACTATTCAATTCTAACTCAGCAATAAACACAGGTGCTGTTAAAAATGTCAACAGCTTACTTGATTATGCAAAATTGTAGGGAAATTCAACTATAAAATCCATCAGAAGTTTCTGAAGAACATCAAAGTCCTCTCATTTAGGAAAGGATACAATCAGATTTTTCTGAAAAATAGAAGTTGGCAAAAAACAGAAACACTCTATTCCTCCATCTTTTTCACTCAGGTGGATACCTCACAGGCTACTAATTTCAAAATTATATGCAAAAAAAGTGTCTTTTTACACAATCAAGTTAAAGATAGATAGCAATGCTATATTACATCTGCTATACTACTTCTGCCTGATTAAAAGCATAAACAGTCAGGAATATAGTTCAGGCTATAACTTATTTAATTAAAGGTCTGACTAAAGACCTAATTCAAGCAGGTTGCAAATCTGAAGCTTTTTATTACTTTTCCTGGTCAGCTGCAGTTGAATAATGGCTTTTAGGATGTTACCACCACCATCAGACAAAAGGACACCTAAAGAAAAGTGTAACAGTGCTGAAATACTTCCAAAGATTTATTTCAGAATTTAGTTACTACGACATTATGTTATCATAGTGGGGTTTTTTTTATTAAAATACAGCACAATCTTACCCGCTTCCAGGTCGCCAACAGCTGTTTGTCAGACATCTGTTCTGGGTAATCAGCAATTGCAAAGACACAGCCCAACAGGAAATACTCTTCTGGAACTGGAGTAGTTGGGCACATAAAAGAAGAAATAATTAAATACCTACAAGTCAAAGAGTTCATCTCAGAGAATATTTTCACACTAACCTTTCCTATTACAAGGTTATAACCTTAATTTCATTTTGAAATAAATCTTTCTGCCAAAATTAGGTTCCAAAACTTCAAAGCTGATAGCCACATCTAAAGGCACAGTTCAGCTCAGGGCTTGTTTTTGTTCTGGGGCTAAAGTGGCAGAAGGAAGGGACACCAAAAGGAAAACGTATCTAAGAAACCCTAGTCTCTTACACAGGTCAGCTACCAGTAGTCAAAACAATCAGAAACCTTTCAGTTCTACTAGCATGGCCAGAATTCAAAGCAATAATAACTTTGTATCTGGTACTGAATCCTCATCAAGTTACTAGTATTGCCAAATTTTAAGCTGTCTTTTCAACTGTTATGCTGTTTCAAAGCTTCCCCCTTTCCAACGCAGAAAAAAAATCCCCCCAAAAACCCCAACTTATGGATTGCACAGACTAACACTGCTCTCATAGTGTAATTTATATGATAGTGGCATAAGGTATATATTTGAAAAGAGAATGTTCTCAGTGCTCTCATGCTTTTCAGATTTCTACATCATCCTTAGCTACAATTTAAATGTTTGCCTAAAAATTAGTGAAACGGGTCCTGAGCCACGAGCAGCATTTCTAAGACTGACACTCCCATACTGTAAACACTTTCTAACCCACATTATGCCATGCCATTAGCCACTTCTTTCCCAGGATGAGAGGCAACAATTACTAACTCTCCACTGCAGGATCGTGTCCATAAAGCGGCTGCTGCTGCAGTTGTTGCTGCTGCTGCTGGTGGTGCTGGGGCTGCTGGGCGGCAACTTGGTGCTGTAGTGCTTGAGATGTCTGAGTTAAGTGCTGTGCTGCCTGGTTCTGCATTTGCTGCTGCTGATGCTGTTGGTGTAATCTCTGTAAGTGCTGCTGCTGCAGTTGCTGCTGCTGCATCTGCTGCTGCTGCAGCTGTTGTTGTTGCAGGTTCTGCTGCTGCAGCTGCTGCAACTGCTGCTGCTGTAGCTGCCGGCGGTGCAAGCGATGCCGCAGCCCGTGGCGAACCA